AGATGCTAGGAGGAGGGTTTGTATCTTGCATTGTCCCCCATTTTCCCACCTCTCATTCCTTCCTGAAGAGCCAGCTCTGACTGGGCCAACTTTGCTTAGGCAAGAAGACAATTGAAATTCTAGTTTCCTTCTTGTTTTTCCTATCAAACTGTGCAGGAAAGAGCTAACGTTAGGGTCAGAAGCCTGTGACAATACCAAGGCATTAGGGGCTGGCGATAGCCACCCTCAAAATCTTCATTATCTCCTGAAATAAACAGACGGAATTTCAGTAGAAACACTGTATTACTCTGTAAATATAATTTCAAGACAAAACCTCTGCCCCGCCCTACCAGATTGCTACCCCTAAACCTCACTCTTCCATTCACAGGCTCCTCAGCTAAGGTACGAAGAGGCTAATGTCTGGGTAGAAATGGTATTTCATGCATTCTAAATGCTACTAATTCATACCATAATGCTAAATCGGCTTGGATTTCACCTACTGACACGTGGATCTAGTTGTAGTTTGTAATTTCTTTTCCTCAGTTGCTCATATTCATTATTTCTAGGGAGTCCCCTGTGTCCTGAGGTGGCAAAGTGTTTCTGAAGAGATTTTGTTTTTTCTCAGGCCACAGAAGCTCAATAGTCTTTTTGAGCTTATTTCTCAGTTTGGAATTAATATTCTGATCAGGCAATTTATATCTAGACCCTGCATCTACACGGCACAGACTTAGGATTTATATTTCTCACAAGAGACTTTTCTATGTTCATGTATCAGACCCCAGACCCTTATACTCTACTACATTCCAAACAGTTCCACTTGGGTGTGTCACAGCTTCCTCAAACTCAACTTTCCAAAATTGAGCTCCTCCATATAGCCTATACTTCTCCAGCATTCCTCATTTCAGTAAAGAGTACCAGGTTGCCATGTATGTGGTATAAGTAGTTCACTAAACAAGGGACAAAAGGCAGCTGAAATTTAGCTTGCACGCTGCTTGGCAGGCAATGCATCAACAGGACTGTGTCCACCAAGAGGGCATCCTTCTCTAAGTGTATAAAGATACCACATGGGTTGGACACCACATGTCACCCTGGCAAGAGGACCACCATCCACCTTGTGGCCACTTGTCCCTTTCCCATATCTCCCCCGACCCACATCCATGTCATCTCAGTGTCTTGCACTTTGTTAGACCTCAAATCCATCTTCTTTGTGCCACTTCTGTAAGTTGCAAGATTTAGCAAATAAAAATACAGAACTCCCACTTAAACCTGAATTTCAATTTCTTAAAAAAACATAATTTTTAGTATAATTATGCCTCATATGTCCATTCTGCCCCCCCTTTCTAAAAGGACCCCAATTTTGGGGGCACCTGGGTGGCTCAGTGGGTTAAAGCCTCTGCCTTCAGCTCAGGTCATGATCCCAGGGTCCTGGGAATAAGCCCCGTTTCGGGCTCTCTGCTCAGCGGGGAGCCTGCTTCCCCCTCTCTCTCTGCCTGCCTCTCTGCCTACTTGTGATTTCTCTCTCTGTCAAAAAAATAAAATCTTTAAAAAAAAAAAAAGGACCCCAATTTTTACTCTGACCCACACTGCACCCAAACAAAAGAACACATTTCTAAGCAGATGATCAGAGCCATGTGCACACCATCACTCCTGGAAGCTGTCCCCACACTGTTCCCATATTTGATGGTTAAGACCAATACATTTCCTCAGAAGACAAATCACTGGGACTTTTGGCTTCGCACTTGATATGATGTCCCTCCATGCACATTAAGAAGTGTTCTCACAGATGTATTTCTTACAAAATCCGGGTTTGGGAGCCTCAGTGTTGGCTCCTCAAGTTAGTAGGGGCCCCCACATCCCTAGAGTAGGCTCAAGCCATAATCCTTCCTAGAGTTCCCCAGCATTGGAAGGACACCAAATGGGCTCCCACGTCCTTTCCCAGAGCTCACTGGGAACGTGGCCAGTAGACCCCCTAAGAGGTACACCATTCCACATCAAGCCCATTGCTTAGTTTCAGGTCAAGGCATCACTCTGTCCTGATTTTCCAGTCTCTCAGTCACTGGCATAATCCAGAGGAATTCCAGCTCTAACATACTTTAGCAAGTCAAATCCTATAAATAAGGCTTTTATCTGCCCAACTTTTGAGGGCCAAATGCCTACGAGCAAAAGAAAACAGTCTAATCCAACTGGATACTCATACTGGAAATGCAGACAACGATTAGAATTATACAGAATATTCATAAATTGTGTGTGGGATTGTAGAAGTTTAACATCCTAATATCTTAATATTTTGACAACTGAGAGTGCAGAGACTGGAGAAACAGTCTTGGAATGGTCTTCATTTAGCTTATTTGGACTTAGGGGCCACTAGCACTAAACAGAATATTCCCTCCAGGCCACAAGAGCTGGTTTTCATTTTTCCCAAGATCCGAAATTAGAATACCTTGCATACAACGTCAAGTTGTTACTCTAATGCATTCACTTAGAAATGTCACATACAGGTGGTTTCTATTAAGACTGCAAGCTGCAGTTATTTAAAGAAATGAACACACACACACACGCACACGCACACGCACACGCACACCTGCACACTCATGCTATTTACCAAGGAACCTAAAGTGAGGTGAAGGGGATTTTCAAGCCTTAAAAGGTCCAACGTTTTTGAGCCTAGAAGGAGGACTGGAACAGCTAGGACATCCATATATTTTTCCCACTTGGCCATTTGGTCTATGCCTTAGTCTCCCCAAAAGATGCATGCACGTGAATTTATGTCCTGCCCAAAGTTAGCAGCGGAACTCCTCAGCTGCCGGTGGTTGGCAATGCTGAGGAGTAAGAAAGACCTGGCCACTCAGATGTGCCCACAGAGCACCCCAAATCCAGTGAATGCCCTTGATTTCCAGGAGATGGAATGTGGCACTACAACTCCAGATCAATTATTCAATAGCGTTCTTTTTTTAATCCTATCTCCTTCTGTTTAGAGCCATATGTAGGAATTACATAGACCTCGTTGAAATCTACAGGCTAATATACACCTTCTGAAACTGTCCTTCCGTTGGTTTCCTTAATACCTTTACTGTGTAGGACTTCTTCCCTCCAAAACTGACAGTGCAGAGTGTTTCCTATTCCACTTAGATAATCCCATCTGGAAATTCCTGCAGAATCACTTTTTCCATTTCTACTATGTTCTCCATTATCCATCCACACGGGTGGTCGCGACTGACATTTTTATATTTTAACTCATAGAAGCATAAAAAATTGTTTTTTTCAGGAGTGCATGTATTTGAGAAAATCTGTTGGCAACCTCTTTTTTCTTTCCTTTTCTAAATTGTTTGGTTTTATTTTCTTTTCTGGATTTTGTTGGGGACGGGAGTGAGTTTTGTGTCCCAGGGGCAAGAGAATCAGCCCAGAGGCATGTTGATGCTAACCCAAGAAGTGGTCAAACACAGTTGCTGGTGGTATGACTACCATGTTCTCTGCTAGTTGGTCCAAAGGCCAGTATGAAAACAGCATGGATGTACTGGGACTGGGTCCTAAACCTGCTTCCTTTACTTCGGCTATGTCTAGAGACAATGCTTTGCCAATGAACTAAATCATATCTCGTGTTTTGGGTATTTTGAGTGTCAGTCTGGGCCCCAATTCTTTCTTTCCACCTTAAGGTTTGGGCAGACCAGACCTGCAACCCTCATTAGCCAACCAGCAGAGGTCTCCTTAGTAGAACAGATTGGCTACCAAGATGCTGAGTCATTGGGGGCACCTGGGTGGCTCAGTGGGTTAAGCCTCTGCCTTCAACTCAGGTCATGATCTCAGGGTCCTGGGATCGAACCCCATATCAGGCTCTCTGCTCAGCGGGGAGCCTGCTTCCCCCTCTCTCTGCCTGCCTCTCTGCCTACTTGTGATCTCTCTCTCTCCTTCTGTCAAATAAATAAATAAAATCTTAAAAAAAAAAAAAAGAAGATGCTGAGTCATTGGCTTGACAGCAGAGAGTGACAGCCTGGCCTGACTGTATACAGTTGGCTTTTGTTCCCATCTTTTTCTCCAGATATTTGCTTCTTGCCTCATTGAGGAAAGGCCCTAAGACTCAGGACTGGTCCTCATGGAGCTCTTGTCCTGCGTGGCCATGTGGACAAACGCTACAAAAGTGGAGAACGGCGATGCAGGACAATGGTATGAATGACCTGTGGAGATCCAGCCTTCACATTATTCTGACATGTACCAAGCAAATAGTAGAGAAAATCTCAAAATAGTATTAATGAGAACAATTTTACCAAATTAATGAAAGCCTCATGCCTGCATTTTACCAATGATTTGAGAGTATCCTTCAAAAACTAAATTTAACTGAATAAAACTGAAGGTGGGCTGTCTACCAGTAGAATTGCATCAGTGTTAAGTTCTCTGAATTCGATACTTGTATGGCAACCATTGGAGAAGATCCTTGACCTCAGGAGATACATGTTAAATTATATAGTAAAGGCCACTCATTCTCAAATAATTCCACAAAACAATAAGAATAACAAAAGAAAGAGAGAGAAGGCACCAAGTTTGACAAATGTTAACAGTTGTAGATTCTGGATGAAGGATATGTGGGGATTTGTTCATTGAATGAGTCTCACAACTTCTCTGTAAGTTTGAAAGTTTTCAAAATATAAAGTTAAAAAGAGCACAGCACGGTGATTACTCATCAAAGTCAAACGTTTGACCTAGAGCAGTCACACTGACAGAAGCGATCGATCGGAGAGGCTCTCCTGACTACAGTCAGTACGGGTTCTACAGACCTGTTTCTGTTCAGGACTGTCTTGCGGAATCCAGAGAACCTGTGGATAGAGGCACGGAGTTAAAGGCTGTGCTCTGTTATAAGATTACCAGTGCTCAACCAACACACTCAACCAGTGATGCGTGGCCGTGACATCAGCCCAAGGGACCACGTTGGGGCAAGGACACCATCCACTCTGGGAGAGGCTTCGCCTTCTCTCCTCTCCACTGTGAAGCCTCTCAAAGGCCTTCTCTTCCAGGCTTGCCTCCAGTTTTTATACTGTTCTTTGAAGGTTCTTTAACCCACCAGGAGGATATAAACTGTGCACCAAGGGGGACGCTGGTTGCCAGTTATCAAGCTCCTCCACCTCCCTTATCTCGTGCTTCAAACTGTTGGCCTTCTCCTTCACCCAGAAAGGCAAGCTGTGGAAAGAAAACAACACTTGGGTTTGAGTATGTGTGCAGCAAAATGGACAAATACCTTCAGGGGATCAGACAAGGCATCCTCCAAAGCAAGAAGGCCCCCAATTTAGGAGACCGGCGATGACACAAACCATGTTAGTTGTTCAGCATTTCCTTCTTCCCCAGACCCAACTCTCTTTTCTGCCCTTCTCTGCCCAGAGACCTGACCCCTGCCACTTGTACCACCTTGACCCCACCATATGCCCCTAGCTTTCAGCCAGGCTTGGCTAACGCACCAGCAGGAGACCAGAAAGCAAGCAGAGGTTGGGGTATTTCTCACCTAGCTCCTCTACTCCTGCTATCTCCTGAGGTACCCCACTTCTGGCTGAGACTAGACTCTCCACTGCCACAACCCCTTCCTGACAGCCATTCTTCATCTTCTGCCAAGCTGGGCAATGAAACCATTGGGAGTGGTGACAGTGGTGACTGCCCAATTGAGAGAGCCTCAGGAGACTTTGCCCTTCCATGCAATTTCCCTCCAGCTGTTTATCCATGCGGAAACAGTCCTTTCATTCAGCTCTCTTGAGAAGCCCACCTGAGTGTGCCTTCTGTTGTTTTGCTGTGGCCTCAGTTAAGTCAGACACCGGCATCCTCCCAAGTCTGCAGAGATTTGAAAGGACATATGCTGGCCTACACTGTGTGTGTTCCAAGAGGTACCAGGAATTGGGACTCCTGGGATGAGTCAGACATTCTTAATCTTTTCATCTTTTGGCAGCTACGGTTTTCATACATTTAGGGAGAAATGCACCATGACTGGGGGAAAAAATGCCCTGATAAATCTGCTAGCGATGGGGAAGTCCTTGCAGGAAGGAAACGGGATGAATACATAGGTAATAGGTGGGGGTCAAGGATATCACATAAAGCTGACAAACCAATACTAGAAGCCCAAACAAGACGAGCAGGCTCTTGTTTGGGCAATATAGAAAGATACTAGCAGAAAGCATCAACAGAATAAAACCACAAGCATTCCCTAACAACGAAAGAAATCATTTTTTTAAACTTTTGTTGAAGCAATCAAAGAAAATAGACTCATGATAAAAATAATATAATACACATAATAATTGTAACAAAATATTATGATAGAATTGGGATCAAGTCAGTCAAATTGGGGCATCCGGGTGGCTTGGTCCTTGACCGTCTGCCTTCAACTCAGGTCATGATCTCAGGGTCCTGGGATCAAGCCCCACATCGGGCTGTCTGCTCAGCGGGGAGCCTGCTTCCCGCTCTCTCTCTGCCTGCCTCACTTCCTATTTGTGATTTCTGTCAACTAAATAAATAAAATCTTAAAAAAAAAAAAAAAAAAAGCTCACAAGTTTGGAATAAAAGGCTTTTATTTCCGCTGAGCTCCAGGGTTTGGTCTCTTCTCTCAGCTGGACGCTGGTAGATCAGACTGTGGGTCACTTGCCCACTCTAGCCATACTTACATGACACTGTTTTGTATTAGAAATTTGGGGGGCGCCTGGATGGCGCCAGTTAATGCAGTTAATGGCATCAGTTAAATGTCTGCCTTCAGCTCAGGTCATGATCTTGGGGTCCTTGGGTCGAGCCCTGCATCAGGCTCCCTGCTCCGCTTCTCCCTCTCCCTCTGTCCCTATCCCCAACTCATGTTCTTTCTATCTCTCTCTCAAATAAATAAAAATTTTAAAGTTAAATTACTTTAAGATTTATTTATTTATGTATGTATTTAAGAGAGAGAGAGAGCACAGACACACACAAGCAGGAGGGGGCAAAGGGAAGGGCAGAGGAAGACAAGCAGACTCCCACTGAGCAGGGAGCCCAACACAGGCTCAATCCCAGGACCCTGAGGTCATCACCCAAGCCAAAATCAAGAGTCGGTTGCCTAACAGACTGAGCCCCTGGGGTGCCCCTGGAAAGTGAAATTTTTTATGCTGACACATATCATTTTCTAGGTCTAAACCCTACTTGGGCAAATAAATGAGGTTCACAATGATGGTGACCTTAAAATATGAGATCAGAAGAATGATATTTCCCTCAAACATGAGAATATTCAGATGGCTTTTCCTCTGCCTCTTCAAATTCTAACCATCCTCCTTGGCTGCACTCATTTAAGCATGGGTCTTTCTTTTCCAACAACTCTTGGGTTTTGAAAATCTTTTTGCTCCATATAAACCCCCCCCACAGTGTTTACCTAGCACAACATGGGGCCTCTGGCGGACTGTCCATCTTACCTGCTGAAGATATGGACAACCCAGCTGCCAGACTCCACAGCACTTGCCCTCCAAGTGCCTCACCAAAACTCTCCATAAAATTGCCCCACCTGCTGGAAGGCCAAAGGTCCCTCCATGTTGGGGGCCTATGAGCTTTTTCGTAGGAGAAAATTATAAATAACTAATAACTTCATAAAGATTGGATAATATAAAAACACGGTGCGAGAACTCACGTAGGAATTTGTGGAAGAGGCTCTAGTGGAATAAATGTATCATATTTCTTTTCATAAGGCACTCTGAAAAACAGAACAGACAACCATCAAATTGGCATGGCTTCTATAGCAGAGAGATTGGTACATCATTGTGTTCAATAGAATGTTTAATTTTCTGGTTTTAATGGCCTCCTATGGGCCTCACAGCTATAAGGTCATAATTCTCATTATAATTTGTACTAAACATCATGAAAGCAAACGTGATCCATTTTTTTAAATATTAATGCAATATACCTACTATTTTTCTTTTAACATAACGAACCTCCCTTTCTCCTCAGTCGCTTTGGTCTAAGTTTAGTTCCAAGTGTACATCAATTCAAACAGTAGTCACTGATGAACAATCTGATTCGATATGAAACTGAAAAGTCTTCAGACTTACAGTAACAATGATAGGGACAAAATTAACAACTACATTTTTGTAGTCAAGATCCTGTGTATAATTTCAGTTACGAACACACATATACGCAGACACTAAGGAACTAGAGATGAACTTTTCTAGGAATTGTCGGCAACCATGCTTTGTTGGAATCTACTCCTTATGAAATATAACATATATAGTACAGAGAGATACAATTACTTTAAAATTAGCACAAGAGGGGCGCCTGGGTGGCTCAGTGGGTTAAAGCCTCTGCCTTCGGCTCAGGTCATGATCACAGGGTCCTGGGATCGAGCCCCACATCAGGCTCTCTGCTCAGCAGGGAGCCTGCTTCCTCCTCTCTCTCTGCCTGCCTCTCTGCCTACTTGTTATCTCCATCAAATAAATGAATAAAATCTTTTAAAAAATAAATTAAAATAAAATAAAAAATAAAATTAACAAAAGAACCGTAGTATTCATATACACTTACATGGAGAAATTCACTGGTGGGAGAGTTGATCCTGCTTTGTGGAAGTCTTTACTCTGTTCTGGGTACATATATGGATTATCTCCTGGAGTTAACTTTGGTATTCCATTCCTAGAATCAATATCTGTGAATGATATTTAAAAACACGGATGTGCCTGGGTGGCTCAGTCATTAAGTGTCTGCCTTCAGCTCAGGTTACAATCCCGGGGTCCTGGGATTGAGCCCTGCATCAGGCTTCCTGCTTGGTGGGGAGCCTGCTTCTCCCTCTCCCTCTACCTGCTGCTCCCCATACTTGTGCTCTCTTCAAATAAATGAATAAAATTTTTAAAAAATTTTAAAACATGATCATAAAAAGGACTAAAGGTAATCCAAAGATAGGCTCTATCAATATGACAATGGAAACAAGATAATTTCATGTTTTCTTATGAGGTACATATTATTATTATGTTTGTGATTGTCTTGCCTTGAGAAGATGAAAAGTGTGCTTGAGAAACACTGTGTTTGGGAGATTTTCCAGAAAGTGCCATGATAACCCCACCCTGGGAAAGAAGAATCGCTTAGGTTCAGACGGGATATTTTGGTTTAAAGTGAATGGTGAGGGGCACCTGGGTGGCTCAGTGGGTTAAAGCCTCTGCCTTCGGCTCAGGTCATGATCCCAGGGTCCTGGGATCGAGCCCCGCATCGGGCTTTCTGCTCAGCGGGGAGCCTGCTTCCTTCTCTCTCTCTGCCTGCCTCTCTGCCTCCTTGTGATTTCTCTCTCTCTCTCTCTCTGTCAAATAAAATAAATAAAATCTTTAAAAAAAAAAGTGAATGGTGAATCAAAGGTATCTGCAAAGGGTAAGCAAGAAGTCTGCTTAAAATCTGAGCATTGGTGCTCTTTGAATCCCTGTATCCTATAAAGCTTAAGAAGCAAATGTAATTGGAATCAGTCTCTCTGACTAGATCTCAGAAGGAAATGAGCTAATGAGGAAGAGCTACAGAAGAGAAAAATTACATTTTCAGGTCAATTTCCCTACAATTTATAACCACAGACAACATTTTGTTCTTCGTTCTATGACAACAAATTAGGCCTTGAAGGAACTCCACCAATGGCCTGATCATAGCTAATGGGTTAGAGCCAACCATTAATGAAACATATTTCAATTGTTTTTTTTTTCTATAATAAAGGTGTTGAATTTCAGTTCGTAATGGAAGCTGACTGGCAGTCATGATGCTGTCTCTCCATCTTATCCAAGAAATAACAAGAGAGAAGAGAATGTCATGAAAAGAAGAAATGTCCGGTGCCAAGCTTAACAGTATCAAGCACTGTAAGAGATTGAGGAAGAGAAAAAAATGGGAAAAGATCATTGTATTCTGGATTTAAAGAAGTCACTGCACATCACCTAAGAAGTAATCACACCTAAAACGAATCAAGCCTACAGGTCCTACTATAAGTTTACAAGAAATACACAGGACAGAGAAACCTGTTAAATGGTACCAAGAAGTATAATCAGCAAAATCCTGACTGGCAAACTCTACAGGATACATGATCTAGTTTCTTTCTTTTTTTTTTTTTTTTAAGATTTTATTTATTTATTTAACCCACTGAGCCACCCAGGCGCCCCTCGATTTTATTTATTTATTTGAGAGAGAGACAGAGTGAGTGAGAGAGCACACACAGGGGGAGCAGCAGAGAGTGAGGGGGAAGCAGACTCTCCACTGAACCATGATCCCGATGCAGGGCTCGATCCCAAGACCCTGAGATAATGACCTGAGCCAAAGGCAGACACCCAACCAAATGAGCCACCCAGGCGCCCATGACATAGTTTCTACACCAAATAAACTGCAAGGAAAGGGGGAGGACCTCTATTAAAAAAAGACTTGATGGATGCCTGGGTGGCTCAATCCATTGGGCGTCTGCCTTCGGCTCAGATCATGATTCTGGGGTCCTGGGATCCAGCCCCACATTGGGCTCCTTGCTCGGCAGAGAGACTGTTTCTCCCTCTCCCTCTGCCTGCAGCTACCTCTGCTTGTGCTCTCTCACTCTCCCTCTCTCTATGTGTCAAATAAATAAAATATTTTTGAAAAAGAAATTTAAGGGGCACCTGGGTGGCTCAGTGGGTTAAGCCTCTGCCTTCGGCTCAGGTCATGATCCCAGGGTCCTGGGATCGAGCCCCGCATTGGGCTCTCTGCTCAGCAGGGAGCCTGCTTCCTCCTCTCTCTCTGCCTGCCTCTCTGCCTACTTGTGATCTCTGTCTGTCAAATAAGTAAATAAAATCTTTAAAAAAAAAAAAGAAAAAGAAAAAGAAATTTAAAATGTAAAGACAATACTCCATTTCTTTTTTTTTAAGATCTTATTTATTTATTTGACAGAGAGAGATCACAAGTAGGCAGAGAAGCAGGCAGAGAGAGAGGGGGAAGCAGGCTCCCTGCTGAGCAGAGAGCCAGATTCGGGGCTCGATCCAGGACCTTGAGATCATGACCTGAGCTGAAGGCAGAGGCTTTAACTCACTGAGCCACCCAGGCACCCAACAATACTTCATTTCTTGAATGGAATAAGAAGCATGAAAGTGATTGTGATACTTTATTCTATACATTCAATAAATATTTCATAAGTGTGTCTTTGCATTTATTCAGTACATATAAAGACCATAAAAGGAAGGAAGGAGGGAACAAAGGAATGAAGGAAGGATGGAAGGGAAATAATAATGCACATAATTCAGGATAATGTTTACTTTGAGTTAGGAGGGAAGTGATGGGTTAGGATTAGGATTTGAGTCGATCGTGATAATCCCATTTATTTCTAATGAATACTTAACACTGGCCCAGTTCTAGGCAGTGAGATGGGGTGGATGGAAGTCTCCTAAAGACCATTTGAGAAAATTTTCCCTTTGTTCTAAAAGAGAAAGGCAACAAGAGAGATTCCTCTTTTTCATGTTTTGAAATAGAGATACAATGCTTGGAACAGCAACAGTTCTCTTGTGACCATAAGATGACAAGTATGAAGACAAAAATCCAACACAGTCTGAAAATAGCAGCACAGAAAGACAAAATGAACCTGTGTCTTTGATGACATCATTGGGCAACCAGTCCATATAGGCCACCTAGATTTCAAAGCTTCTTGTTAAATATATAATAAATAACTTCAAAAAAAGCATATAATATCTGGGGCACCTGGATGGCTCAGATGGTTAAGCATCTGCCTTCAGCTCAGGTCATGATCTCTGGGTCCTGGGATCGAGCCCCATATCGGGCTCCCTGCTCAGTAGGGAGTCCGCTTCTCCCTCTCCCCTGCCTCTCCCCCTGCTTGTATGCGCACTCTCTCTCTTTCTCTCTCTCTCTCAAATGAATAAATAAAATCTGTTCAAGAAAACATATAATATCTTATGATTTAAGCCTCTGACAGTTTGGTTTTTGTCCTACTGTGGCCAAGAGTATCCTTAAGTACTATACAGCTAAATTTAGTCCCTTCCTGATTTTTCTCCATTATCTCATATTTAAATAAATCTTCCCCATTCTACCCAATGGCTGCATCTCAGTTGGGAGTGAGAAGTCAGGGTGTGCACAACAGGCTTACATGATATCAGGGCTCTGGGGTAAGGCTTTGCGTCCTGGGTCATGGACTGCAAATCACATCAGTATCTGATACTCACCTTATCTCTGCTACTCTCTGGAAGCTGCCATTTATTTCTGTTGTCTGCTAAAACATGTCATCTAATCTGATCTCAGGAAGCCAGTCCCCTCCACAATGCATCAGGTGACGCATCAATTTATTCTCCTACGATCCCTGGCTTGATGGTCCCCGCCCCTCATACTGTGGTCTCCCAGCATTTCAGTTGCAAGACTGGAGCAGTTCTCCTGGCTGGCTCTCTGTTTCTTACTTTCTCTGTGTCCCAATCTTCACAGTCTTCACAGGGCACAAAAATGCAGCTATTCCTCTGCATCTCCTGGGTAGGTGAGACCTTGAGGCTGGCTTTCTGCCTAGATATTGCCCACAGCAGTCACACTACCCTGCTGCTCAGCCAAAGCAGATAACCACTTGACTCTGAAGCTTGAGATCTCGCCCAGCCACCCTCAGAGGCAGAAACCCAGCTAGGCTTTGGTGCTGGGCATCAAGCAGAATGCGAGACTCCCCAAAGCTCTTCTACCTCCTCTAGCATGGCTTCTTGTGTATCCTCTTGCCAGACAAAAGCCTTGATCTTTAAAACTATTTGTCTCTGCTCTGAGTTTAAAGCCTATGTTGAGGGGCACCTGGGTGGCTCAGTGGGTTGAGCCTCTGCCTTTGGCTCAGGTCATGATCTTGGGGTCCTGGGATCGAGCCCCGCATCGGGCTCTCCGCTCGGAAGGAAGCCTGCTTCCTCCCCCCTGCCCGCCTGCCTCTCTGCCTACTTGTGATCTCTCTCTCTGTGTCAAATAAATAAATAAAATCTTAAAAAAAAAAGGCCTATGTTGAAACTCAAAAATGAGAACTTTCTATTTCTTTCCCTCTGTATCCCTGTGACAGCAATCCATGAAGCATGGCATGGAAATACAGGTATTTCCAGAGAAGAATGTGCTATAATGGTCCTTGGGTACCCAGCAACCCTAGGATCTTTCCATAAATCTATTATGGGTAGGTTGGGACAGAGAACTCCCCATGTTCCAATCTCTCTCTCTCTCTCTCTCTCTCTATATATATATATATATACACTCATCTCAATTACCTTTAATTAAATAAGCTATGAAATAACAGCATGCACTTCAGGCTAAGGTTTAAGGGAATATTTTCCCTTTGAAGAATATAATGTACAATTTAAATACATATGATGGGCAGCAGCTAACTGAAACCTAAATTATTTTCTGGAGGTTTGAATGAAGGTTTCTATTAATAAGTATCTGAGAGAACTTATCTGAGGACTTAAATGTCACATTAGCATTTTATGAAATTCAGAGAAAAACAAAAATGTGGATCAGCATATGTTGTGAGTTCTTTGCCAGAAAGTGCAGTCTGCCAGCCGTCTCCTTCACATTCCCATCTTCCTGGCTGCGCTAGAGTGACATGGTGACCCCAGAGGGCGGATGCCAGCCATGGAATGTTGGGCCTACAGAACCACAACTCAGGGAGTATTTTTAGGCATGGCACAGGCAAGGTCCAGGAGGAAAATATTACCGTATTTCTTCCTCCCAAAGCACTTGTCCACCATTCTCTCTGACAGAGACCTCCTGTTGCCGAGGAAGAGCCCATTAAAGAAACACTGCTTTCCAACATGGTAGGTGTGGATATTGCTGCTAAATCTTGGGTAAAATGTCCATTCTGGACGCTGCCCATCTTCTGCAAGACATCAGAAATCCTCCCATCAGCATCGCTCCCAGCCTCACATAACGCAGTTAAAACACAGGAAAGTTGTCCCAGGCACTCTCTGACTGGCTGTCCTTTATCAACGTGTATAATCCCTTCGTTCTACATCAGGGGCAATGTCAACCTCTGACGGATGAGGCCCGAAAGGAAGGGAAGTGCAGAGAAAGGGATCTAAGAGGCCTCTTTTTTCCCTTTTTACCCTCTCGTCCAAAAATGAAGCCAATTTTTTCGTTGGAAGTGATGTATGGAATGGAAAGCTCTGAGACACTTTTACGTGTCTCAGAGCACCTACGATCCAACCTTCACGCTGATAAGTGGGTAGGAAGAAGAGAATGCCTATCAGGCAGGGAAGGGCCTGGCAACCATCCCAAATGGGCCGGAGAGCCCGTGGTGTTGGCAGCAACGGTGGCAGGCGCATGCGCAAGAGTGACACGGGAAGATGTCTCCACGCAACTCGAGCAAAGGAGAAAGGCCCCTGCGGGACCTCGAGCAGGTTGCTGGACCTGTCCGTGTCTTTGTTTCCTCATTCAGTACTTTTCTTTTAAACAATGAGAGATCCCCTAACAGCGCTAGGGTTGCTTGAGAAGCCCTTGGGCTCTGTGATGGCCAAGAAAGCACACAGGCTCTGGAGGCTGGCAAGTTCCAATTCTAACCCCAACACCGTGCTCTCGTATGAGTGACAAAGTCTCTCCAAGCTTCAGTGGACTTCTGTGTAAAATGGGTAGGTCTATATTAGCCACCTAGATTTATATGTGTGACACAGAAAGAGGTCCATGATCTATTTGCCTTGCGTGAAAATAGTTTATATCTTATTTTCCACGAGTGCAAATATGATTGTATATATAACATAACCCATATATGCCTGAGTACATGCATGCACGCACATACATGTTTCAGAATTCCTCACAGATACAGGGCATAATGGAGATACTGTTGGAAAAACACTGGGAAGGGGTTTCTATACTCTAAATACTCCTTTATTATTTTAATGCTTTGCTATAGTACTTTTATGGTTTTTATATAAATCCATTTTAGTTTTAGAAAATATATTTCCATATCATATATTTTATGACATACAATTTTAATATACATTTTATATGTATTTCATATTCAAAAATATATTTCATATATTCAGCACAGTCACTGTGAGAATTAGAGATGAAGCATGTCCAACCCCTGACACTTCCTGAGCGAATAGTGCCCAACAGCACGACAGACTTCTGGAAAGCCCTGGGTGTGGAGGTACAGAGGGGAGAAGCTATGACATACTCACTTGTCTGCAATTTAAGCAGACTGAACTCCTCACGATATTTATCCTTTGGCACTTCAGGCAATGAGGTTTCAGAGAAGTGATCAGAATGTGAGGAGGAGGATTTCAGACCCAAATCTGCAGCCAGGCTGGAAAGGAAGAAGAAGGATTAGATTCTTCCATGCGCTTAAATTGGTAGTCAGAACCTGATGTTACATATCTTACACTAGAATTACTCTCCCTTATGACAACTAGGTCTGGCCCCCATAAATTTCCATGACATATCGTTTATTTACCCACAACTTGAGGGGACTGACACAGTGTGGTGTTTCCTCAAAAAAGTTAGAGAATTACCATATAACCCAGCAATTCCACTCCTAGTCATATACCCCCAAAGAACTGAAAACAGAGACTCTGATACTTGTACAGGAATGTTCTTTGCAGCATTACTCACATTAGCCACACAGTGGAGACCACCCAAATGCTCACTGACCAATGCATGGAGAAGCAAAAGTGGTATTGACATACAATGGAATATTATTCAGCCATAAAAAGGAATGGCGTTCTGATACATGCTGCAACGTGAATGAAACTTTAAACATTGTGTTAAGTGAAATAAGCCAAACACAAAAGGACAAACATTATAGGACTCCATTTACATGAAATACCTTAATAGGTAAATTCAGAGAGACAGAAAGTAGATCAGGTTAGTAGATTAGGGTAGATTAGAGTACCATGGTTGGCAGAGAGGGGAGAATGGGGAATTATTGCTTAATGGGTAGAATGTTTCTATTGGCACTGGTGAAAATATTTTTTTAAGATTTTTTTAATTTATTCATTTGACAGACAGAGATCACAAGCAGGCAGAGAGGGGAAAGGAGGTTCCCCGATGAGCAGAGAGCCGGATGTGGGGCTTGATCTCAGGACCCTGAGATCATGACCTGAGCTGACCTGATCTGACCTGAACTGAAGGCTTAAACCACAGAGCCACCCAGGCGCCCCACGACTGGTGAAAATGTTTTAAAAGTGACAAGGATGGGGGAGCGTGGGTGGTTTAATCAGGTCATGATCTTGGGGTCTTGGGACTGAGCGCTGCAGGGAGCCTGCATCTCCCTCTCCCTCTGCTGCCCTCCCTGCTTGTGCTTGCTCTCTCTCTCTCTCTGTCAAATAAATAAATAAAATCCTTAAAAAAAAATAGCAGTGATGGTTGAAAGGTAATCAATTCCAGTGGGGAAAAATGGATAAAATGGCAAATATTATGTTATATATAATTCACCCCAATTAAAAAAAAAAAGAATGATGTACTGATACATGCTGTAACATAGATGAACCTTGAAAATGAAACACTGAATGAAAGAAGCCAGACACCAAAGGCCACATATTCCATTTATATGAAATGTCCAGAATAGGCAAGTCTACAGAGATAAGAAGGACATCAGCGGTTGTCTAGCGCTGGGGGGTTAGGGGACATGGTGGGAGTGATTGCTCAAGAGGATGGGCTTCTTTTTGGGGGTGATGAAATGTTCTAAAATTGATTGTGGTGATGGTTTAGTGAATACGTTAAAAACCACTGAGTTTGCACACTTTAGAAGGGTGAAGACTTTTTTTTCTCATGCACATAAAAAAACAACATCAAATTGCAGACCTGTACCCCTGAAACAAATAATACATTATATGTTAAGTTTAAAAATTTTAAATAAAAGTTAAAGAAAAATAAATAACATTAAGGGGCACCTGGCTGACTCCGTCTGTGGAACCCATGACTCTTGATCCCAGGGTTGTGAGTTCAAGCCTCACGTTGAGTGTAGAGATTACTTAAAAATAAATCTTTAAAAAATAGGTTAATATTGATTCTCTAAGAGGTGGAACTACCATGAGTTTTATTTTTAATATTGTTTTTATACTTTCAAAATTTCTACGTGTACTTACTTTCCTTATAACAAAAGCCATTAGAAAAAAAAAAAGTTCCAAAAAAGAAAAAAAAAAGGCTCCAAAACTTTTACTGTGAAGAAATCTAAACAGAGGGGCATCTGGGTGGCTCAGTTGGTTAAGTGTCTGCCTTCAGCTCAGGTCTTGATCCCGGAGTTCCGGGATTGAGTCCCAAGTTGGGCTCCCTGCTTAGCTCAGGGAATTTGCTTCTCCCTCTGACCCTCCCCCTTCTCATGCTCTCTCTCTCGCTCACTCAAATAAATAAAATCTTTTAAAAAAAGAAAAAGAGGGGAGCCTAGGTGGCTCAGTGGGTTAAAGCCTCTGCCTTCGGCTCAGGTCATGATCCCAGGGTCCTGGGATCGAGCCCCACATTGGGCTCTCTGCTCAGCAGGAAGCCTGCTTCCTCCTCTCTCTCTCTCTGCCTGCCTCTCTGCCTACTTGTGATCTCTGTCAAATAAATAAATAAAATCTTTTTTAAAAAATAAATAAGAAAAAGAAAAAGAGATCTAAACAGAGAAAAGTACTCACCACAAATAGTTTTACAAATAATTATAAAGCCAGCCCTCCCCTCCACTCTTCCCCCCATCCATTGCATCCAGAAACCATTTGTGTGTCCCTATCACCGAGAATTAATGACTATCCTGACTCTGACTCTTATAGTAATCATGGCTTTGCTTTTCTCTAAGATTTACCACCTAAGTATGTATTCCAAAAAATACAGCTTAGTTCACTTGCTTTTGAACTTCATAATGACAAGCATGTCTACAACACATATGTGCGTCATGAATCTTCCAATCCTTTTCCATGTATTAACTCATTTAAACCTCAAAACAATTCTATGAAATATTATCTCCATTTTACAGATGCAAAAACTAAGGCCCAGGAAAGTAAAGTCATTTTCCCAAGTTCACACAGATGAACTTGGCAGAGCTGGGGTTTGAACCTAGACAGTCTAGCTCCAGAATCCATGCTCTTGCCAAACATGTCATGCCACCTCTCAGAATATTGGCTTCCTGGTCAGAATTTACCCCGATAGTTACGGTCTTTATTGCACCCTTACTTACTCTAAGTGAGCAGACACTTTGCAGAGGCCTGGAGGCTCGCTCACACTAAGACATGTTTCAACAGAAGATGAGTGGCTGACCTTTCTGCCGGAGGATGTTGTGTTGGCAAAGCATCCCTTAGATTCCAGAAAATTGCTGTGTTTAGTACCTGCAACACATCACCATCGGATTTCATTACTGAAATGAAATGCCTAGCCCTCCATCTTGTTCCCTAGATTATATAAATTATTTTTTCAAAACTAACATTTATTGAGCATGTACTGTGTATTGAGGATTATGTTAACATTTTACATGCATTATCCCACTTAATTCCCATAACAGCCACAGAACTAAGTATTGCTTATCCTTCCATTTTACCAAAGAGGGAATTAAGGCACAGATGGTTAAGCAACTTGCCTATGATCACACAGAAAATAAACACTTCAGTACAGATTTGATCACAGCTCTTGTGACACTAAAGTCAAAAATCCTAACCATATGCTAGACTACTGACCCTCCAGAGTTTACCTACTTGGAATTAAGTGGAAGAGATAACATCTGAATCAAGCTATTTATCTGTACATTGCATTGAGCATCTCAAAACAAACTTCCAAAGGATTATTCATGGAAAGACTGATGAATAATCTGAAGAACTACCGTCAGAAACTTCCATGGGGGGCGCCTGGGTGGCTCAGTGGGTTAAAGCCTCTGCCTTCAGCTCAGGTCATGATCTCAGGGTCCTGGGATCGAGCCCCACATTGGGCTCTCTGCTCATCGGGGAGCCTGCTTCCTCCTCCTCCTCTCTCTCTCTCTCTGCCTGCCTCTCCTCCTACTTGCGATCTCTGTCAAATAAATAAATAAATAAAATATTTAAAAAAAAAAAAAAGAAACTTCCATGGGTTCCACACCCCCCCAACTGGAGCACTGTCATTAATTTATATATGCGTCTTCCCCACCAGACTTAGTACTATGTCTTACTCATCTTCGCAGCACCCAGAACAGTGCCTGACTCAAAGCAGATGCTCAACACATATTTGAGCAAATAAATGAAAAAGAATTATAACTCCCCAAATTCCCCAAGTAAGAGAGTCCTGAAAGCCAGGCTTCTCAGATACAGAATCATAACCATTATCTTCACTCTGCTATACAATTACTGATTTGTGAAAGTCAGTCTGTTCTCTTGTCATTTTATAGAGTTATGTGCTTGGCCAGTCACTTAAAAACAAAAAGTTAGAGGAATGGATATTGCATTTCTTTATGCATAATTTTATAGTGCATAGAAGCTCAATAGACATAATGTAACCTCTAGTTCTAAGAAAATTACAAAAAAGAGGAGTGATTCTTGAGTACATTCCCTTCCCCTCCCAGGATCTCTATTCTTGAGTTTTTCAGGGTATGGCATAAGGACTGCCTGCATCAGAATTATCTGAGAACTCTGTTAAAAATACAGATTCTTTTTTTTTAATCTTTTTTTTAAAGATTTTTTATTTATTTATTTGACAGAGAGAGATCACAAGCAGGCAAAGAGGCAAGCAGAGAGAGAGAGGAGGAAGCAGGCTCCCCACTGAGCAGAAAGCCCGATGAGGGGCTCGATCCCAGGACTCTGAGATCATGACCCGAGCCGAAGGCAGCGGCTTAACCCACTAAGCCACCAAGGTGCCCCAAAAATACAGATTCTTTTTTTTTTTTAAAGATTTTATTTATTTATTTGTCAGAGAGAGAGAGGGAGAGAGAGCAAGCACAGGCAGACAGAATGGCAGGCAGAGGCAGAGGGAGAAGCAGGCTCCCCGATGAGCAAGGAGCCCGATGTGGGACTCGATCCCAGGACGCTGGGATCATGACCTGAGCCGAAGGCAGCTGCTTAACCAACTGAGCCACCCAGGCGTCCCATAGCTACTATATTTTTTATAGGCTGTGACCTATTTATTTCTCTAAGGCTCAGGTTCATCACTTATAAAATGACATACTATTTTTTTTTTTAAGATTTTATTTATTTATTTGTCAGAGAGAGAGAAAGAGAGAGAGCAAGCACAGGCAGACAGAATGGCAGGCAGAGGCAGAGGGAGAAGCAGGCTCCCCGATGAGCAAGGAGCCCGATGTGGGACTCGATCCCAGGACGCTGGGATCATGACCTGAGCCAAAGGCAGCTGCTTAACCAACTGAGCCACCCAGGCGTCCCCAAAAATACAGATTCTTAAATCCCATCACAGACCCACTGAATTAGAATCTCTCTAAGTGAGGCCTGGGAACGCACATTCTGAGCAAACCCTCCTTCCCCTGCACCAATTAGGCTCACGTTCTGCAGTGATATTCCTCCTCTTCAAGTCTAGCTCCGCCACTGCTTTCAGTCCCATCCCACTTCCTGATTCCCCAACTGCACAGTTTCTCGAATTTGCTAGGTCACGAGGATCACCTTGGGGCACTCGGTTCAACACTTGGATCCCAGAGCTCTGATCCAGAGCTGCAAGGGAAGACCTGGGTGTCAGTATGGTTAAGAAGCACCTCAGGTGATTCTCAGAGCCGGCCAAGCACCGGAAGAGCTGTTCTGGAATGTGCCACAGCACCTAGAGCAACCCCAAATAAAGAAAGGGTCACTTGATTGCTTGATGTGTGAGTAGTTGGGTGGGGTGAGCCCAGGGGAAGGGCTGAGAGAGACACGGAGCTGTGAAGGGGAGAGCACAGTTTCCCAGTATCCAAAAAGTAGTGTTCACAAACGTAACATAGACCACACTCTCTGACCACAATGCAATACAATTAGAAATCAATAATTAAAAAACAGCCAAAAACATTCATAAGCTTGGAAACTCAAACCACACTTCTAAATAGCTCATGTAAATGAGGACAACACAATGGAATTCATGAGGTGCTTCATGGTCAATGACATAAGTACTATAAATCAAAACTTGTAGTTATCCAAGTAAAGCAGTAAGTAGAAACTAGAGCCTGAAACGCATTTACTGTAATCCTGTATTTCACTGAATATGAGGTTCTAGCATATTAGTATTTTATGTACCCAAAGAACGAAGGTTGCCAATTAAACTATGACAGAATGCTTTACCGCTTAAGAGTTTTTATTATATATTTATTGAAGCAGTCTTTCAAACTTACTTAGGTGTAGATTTTAAGCACCTGTCATTCATGCGCATGTTTAAAAAAGGAAAATATAAGCAAAAAAATTGGTTAAGCCATTCTTGCATTCAAAAGTGTGACTACTGAACCCTTTTTCAATGCAATCACTGATGCCCACATTTCCCATCTAAGTTGACCTCAGTGCAACAAGCACATGGGTGATGCTTCACTTCTTAAATGAGTGCTCCTCGACTGCTTCTGGAATGTTCTTCCAAGACACAGACATACCTTCTGCATTATTCAGTGCTCATTCAGCAAAGTTTCTAACAATTATTTCACACCTGCTGCTTGGCCCGCTGCACTAGGAAGACCAGTCCAACCTCAGAGATGCAAACTCTGAAAAATGTCCACCTTAGAATTGACAGATTATAGTATTAAAAAAAAAAAAAGATTCCAGGGGCACCTGGGTGCTACAGTCAGTTAAACATCTGACACGTGGTTTCAGCTCAGGTCACGATCTCAGCATCATGAGATCAAGCCCCCCACCGGGTTCTATGCTCAGCACAGAGTCTGCTTGAGATTCTCTATTCCTCTCCTTCTACCCCTCCCATTGGTCCTCTCTCTCTCTCTAAAACAAATAAGTAAATCTTTAAAAACAAATAAAAAAAACAAATATTCCAGGACACCTGGGTGGCTCAGTTGGTTAAGTGGCTGCCTTCGGCTCAGGTCATGATCCCAGAGTCCAGGAATCAAATCCCACATTGGGTTCCTTGCTCAGTGGGGAGCCTTTGCCGCTCCCCCTGCTTGAGCCCACTCTCTCTCTCTGACAGATAGATAAATAAAATCTTAAAAAAAAAAAGATTCCAAAATTAATGAGCTAAACTTGCAATGCAAGAAATAAGGGAAAAAAAATAAACCCCCCAAAATGATAAAAAAGGATACCATAACATAAAAACAGAAATGAATGAAATAAAAATTATTAGAATTATGGCTTCATGGGAAAAATGAATAATGTAGATAAACAAAGTTCAAGAAAAACCAATCTTTAAGAAAAGTAAACAGTTTTAGCAATGAATTACCATAATTGCAAGTAAAATAGAAATAACATTACACATAAAGAAATCAAGTGTCACAAATGCCCAATTACTTGTTCAAGGTTACAGAGCTATAGAGTGTAATTTATAAAATGTATCTTGATGTTACAATAATCAAGATGGTACTGACACTAACCCTAACAGCTAAATCAAGAGAACAAAATAGAAAATGTAGGTAGAATAAAATTTTATATAATAGTGGCATTTTGGGGTGCCTGGATGGCTCAGTGGGTTAAAGCCTCTGCCTTCAGCTCAGGTCATGATCCCAGGGTTCTGGGATCGAGCCCCACATCAGGCTCTCTGCTCAGCAGGAAGCCTGCTTCCTCCTCTTTCTCTCTCTGCCTGCCTCTCTGCCTACTTGTGATCTCTGTCTGCCAAATAAATAAATAAAAATCTTAAAAAAAAAAAAAGTGGCATTTCATGTCCATGAGGAAGAAATGGATTATTCAAAAATATTGCTGAAACAATGAATTAACCATATGCAATGAAAATAAAATAAATTAATTAGTTAATCCGCAGATAAATTCCAGATGACTTACAGATTTGAATATAAAACTTAAAATAAAGGATGTACCTGAAAAAATGATAATTGATTGCTTATACAATCTTAGTTTGGGGAAGTTATTTCTAAGAAAGATATCAAATATAGGCAAAATAAAGGAAAAGATGCATAAATTTGAATACATATACATTTAAAACTTCCATAGCAAACTATAAAGTGGGGGAAAGTTTATAGCATACACAATTAAGAAAAAGAACTAATAGTCATGACAAATTATGAGTTTTTATAAATTTACTAGATGAAATAAATACCCAAAGAGAAAAAAATGAGCAAAGGACGTGATTAGGTAATTCATTAAAACACACAGACACACACACACACACACACACACACACACACATAAATCGTTGATACACATTTGGAAAAAAATCCATCCTTCCTAGTAATCAAAGAGCTGAATTTAAAACAAGATACCAGTATTTGCTTTGAGTTTGCAAATACCCAAGTTTGGCTCAGCTTGGAGGAGTGGCATTCTTATACATTGCTGGTGGAAACGTCTCCATCTCACTAAAAAGCACTTTGGCCATATGTAGCCTCCGAATCCTGTGAGAATGGCACTTTTGGTCCAGTGGTTCTACTTCTAGAAACATACCTATGAAAAAGGTATGAAGTTTATCTATAAGGATGCAGAAGGGATCCGCACGTGTAGACAAGAAATAAGAGCAAGAGTAGAGGGGTGCCTTGCAGTGCCTGGGTGGTTCAGTGGGTTAAGCCTCTGCCTTCGGCTCAGGTCATGATCTCAGGTTCCTGGGATCAAGCCCCACATTGGGCTCTCTGCTCAGCAGGGAGCCTGCTTCCGCCTCTCTTTCTGCCTGCCTCTCTGCCTACTTGTGATTCCTCTCTCAGTCAAATAAGTAAATAAAATGTTTAAAAAAAAAAAAAAAAGAGTAGAGGGGCACCTAGGTGGCTCAGTCAGTTAAACAGCTGTCTTCAGCTCAGGTCATGATCCCAGGGTCCTGGGATTGAACCCCACATCAGACTCCTTGCTCATCGGGGACCCTGCTTCTCCCCTCCTTGCCATTTCCCCTGCTTGTGCTTGCTCTGTCTCTCTCTCTCCCCCTTGCTCTGTGTCAAATAAATAAATAAAATCTTAAAAAAAGAAAAAGAGCATTTACTTACAATGATTTTTGCCCATAGGTCTTAACAGTTTCAACAACAGTTGCCTTTTTTTTTTTTTTAAGATTTATTTATTCATTTTAGAAGAGGAGGAGAGTGCATTGGGGGTGGGGGCAGAGGGAGAGGGGGAGAGGGAATTTTTTTTTTTAAGATTTTATTTATTTGACAGAGAGAGAGCAAAAGAGCACAAACAGGGGAGCGGCAGAGGGAGAGGGAGAAGCAAGCACCCTGCTAAGCCGAGAGCCCGGTATGGGGCTCGATCCCAGGACCCTGGAATCATGACCTGAGCCAAAGGCAGTCATTTAACCACCTGAACCACCCAGGCATCCCAGAGAGAGAGAATCTTAAGCATCTTTTTTTTTTTTTTTTTTTTTTTTTTTTAAAGATTTTATTTATTTATTTGACAGAGAGAAATCACAAGTAGGCAGAGAGGCAGGCAGAGAGAGAGGAGGAAGCAGGCTCCCTGCTGAGCAGAAAGCCCGATGTGGGGCTTGAACCCAGGACCTGGGATCATGACCTGAGCCGAAGGCAGCGGCTTAACCCACTGAGCCACCCAGGCGCCCCGAGAATCTTAAGCATCTTAAGCAGGCTCCACATCCAGCCCAGAGCCCGAAGTGAGGCTTGATCCCAGGACCCTGAAGTCATGACCTGAGCCGAAGTTAAGAATCAGATACTTAACCTACTGAGACACCTAGGGGCCCCAGTGGTTGCCTTTTCATAGCATGTAAACATTCTAACTGTATATTTGCTACTAGAGGACTTGAGAGTTCACCAAAGCAAGAATTGGTTGCTATGGACGGCATCACAAGTTTCTAGGTTCATTTTTTTTTAATTTTAGGGGCAAAATTCGAACATATTATATAACCCTGAGCCGCAAACAGTGAAATCACTGTCTACAAATTTAGCATATTTCCTTGTTTGAGTAATAAGTTTTGTGTTGGTGGGACATCTGGGTGGCTCAGTCAGTTAAGCTTCTGCCTTTGGCTCGGGTCATGATCCCAGGGTCCTGGGATTGAGCCCCGCATTGGGCTCTCTGCTCAACGGGGAGTCTGCTTCTCGCTCTGTCTGCTGCTCCCGCTGCTTGTGCTCTTTCTCTGACAAATAAATAAGTAAAAATATATTTCTTTAAGATTTTGTTTATTCATTTGACAGAGAGAGAGAAAGCAAGCAGAAACAGGGGGAGCAGCAGAAGGAGAGGGAGAAGGAGACTCCCCGCTGAGCAGGGAGCCCGATGTGGGGCTCGATCCCAAGACCCCAGGATTGTGACAGGAACCAAAGGGAGACGCTTAAGCAACTGGGCATGCAGGCTCCCCAAATAAATAAATAAAATCTTAAGAAGACGAACAAGGAGGAGGAAGAGGAAGAGGAGGAGAAGTAGTAGTAGTAGTTTTATGTTAGCAAATGTCTAGAAGGTGGCTGCTGTAACAGGAAAGGCTTATCTGACAGCAAGGGTAGGAAGAGCAGTCTCTCTGCTAAACAGGCAGAGAGCACATCCTTCAAACAGCTGACTATA